CTCAGCTCCAGAGGTTGCTGCTTGATCTCTACACAACTGTCATCAGATGGTAATTTCAAATGTTCCTGAATCCTGATTGGTGCACAGAAATGTGTGACATCATCTTTTTGAATGAAGCTCCACCCACTTGAAAAGAGAATGGATAAAAACATTAGTTCATAAATCTCTCATCTGAATAACCAAAACTTTTGTAATGTTGGTGGAAAATTGGGTCTTCATGTATGACCTGTTGAATAGATAAGTTTTGGGGATACCATTGATTTTTACATTGTGGATAATGTTAGCGCCAGGTTTTGACAAAAAGACGAATGCATGGAATAAAAAAGATCATATCTATGGTTTGGTTCATTGACTTTGACACTTTTGTCCATTGCAACTCCAACAATCATATGGGAATGCAATGCTAAATCAGCATAGATAGACTCTTAAAGAAAGATTTGTTAGCCTGATCATAATCATGAGAACTTCAAAGGATATTCTAGTAGTCTCCACACTGATTTGTAAAATATTTAAATTTTATTACAAATTTAATTCAGAAGATTACGTATGGTTAGTTGACATTACACAGCAACAAGAAGTAGCCTATGCAGAAGTACCACTTCCCATTGCTTCTTTTCTCTTTGGCCATTTTGTAAAAGCTTATACCTGAATTGTCTAAAGTTTGCGCAGTTTTCTACATGAATGCATGAAGGCAGATGCTGACTGATGGATGTGTGTTACTCAGGCCTTAATTATACTTCTCCTGGCTGCAGGTTGTGTGTTTCTTTTCATCTCTGTTTCAAACCTGGGTCCTGGCAGGTGTTGAATCAACCACACTATGCACTGTTCAGATTTGGGAGGTGTGCAAACATAATATTAATATCTATAACAGATAGAAGATGATCTGAATGATGGCAGAGATATTTACTGACACAAAGATTAACTAAGCAGCAGAGAGAAAGTCACTATGTGCACAGAGGAGCTCTTATAACAAGGATGTTGACAACACCCAGTAATGCATGCATGCACTGTAGGTTTAGTGAGTTCATCTTGAATGCTTCCACCATCTTTGTCACAAACGTGAGCATCTCTTTCATGCTAAGATTAGCTGCTTAATGTCAGATGCTGCATGGCATGACTGCTTAAAGGCTGCTACAGGTATCACTGCAGGATTTATTCGCTGTAGTAGCCCCCTCATTTTACTCTCACTCACAGCAGGATATTGATCCACTGTAAGTGGAGTGAGCTTGTACACGGCTACAAAAAATAACCCATGTGTTGCTGCAGTTTGTCTCTGACTTCATGGTGTCACTTATTTTTGCCGGCTGGTTGAGTCATGTGAGGACAGTGCTGGCTCGGGTTTGATGGGTGGACAGCAGCAGCAGCAGCAAAGCTGGAGAGGCAATCAAATGGAGCTTATTAGCTAAAATACCCTACACTGAATCAGAGATAATGGAGGCAGCATCTAACATATGTAGAACTTACTGTCATCAAGATTTATTTAGCTGGTTTATATAATAGGATTTGCTCTGCAAAAAGTGACATAAAGTATGATATTCATATTGCATGACATATTAGTGAAATAAAAAAAAAAACATCTGCAAGCCGTTTGGAAATGTTTTCTAATGAGCAAACATGTATCACATTATTTAATTTCCTCTGTGCAGTGTAGTATTTTATATCTTTGGCTTTTTGTTGAGTCTAGAAAAGAAATCTAAATATCTACATATATAATAAATATATATGTCACAATATCAGATTTTCACTACACAATTATTATAGCCAAAAGAATTTACAATAACGATATTATCATTATATCTATAGAGAATTTGAAAATAATCATAATAATAATGCTGTCAGTCAAAGTTATCTTTAACTTTATTAATTGTGCGTTTTGTCTCTTATTTTGACGAATGAATTAGACTGAAATATGAGTGTAGGGAGGTGCAGAGAGAGTCTGTAACCATAACTGTACAGAAGAGTACTAAAAGAACAATTGCATTTAATGAATAGTGAGACGGCAACCAGATGAACTGATAAATAAAAGATCCACAAGGCCAAACATCTGCCATCACAATATTATCATATGTGTATAATATTAACATAATATTAATATTTCATTTTATAAATATCATGGTTATTGTCAGTACCACACCTGATATGAATATATATAGAGGTAATATGGCAAAAGCTGTAATTACCTCATATACCTGATATACCTCACATGTGGGTTATGTAAAGTCAATACAACAGTCAGCCTCTGCAGTGGCAGAGTATCCACACGCTTTTGATTCCACTCTTCAAAGCGAGAGACTACACTCGCAGTCCACACACCAGTTCTCATAAAAAGAGCCAGTCCTATCTTATTACTTTAGATCTAACCCTTCCACACTTGTGGGATGTTGTCTCTGACTTGAGTCATTAAACTCCCTTCTCTGGTATAATACAGGTCCCTCACTCACACTCAAACACCTGCTACTCTTTTTTTCTCATAACAATATAATGAAATACCACATTGGGAGCATCTCTGGTGCTGCAATAATGTCAGCAGTGCTGCCTCCTCTCAGTGACAATGTTCCTGTGCTTTACTGTTGAAATGTGCACTTCACTCTCCGTAGAGAAAATGACCCTGTCCTTCCAGGTAGACACTTAAAAGTTGGGTAAACAAACGAACAAACGAACAAACAAACAAAGCAAAATGGACCAACCAAGAAAGTCACTGCATCCACAGTCTCCACTTGTACAAAGAGTGTTTTGATAAATGAAAAGCGGCGTATTTCAGATATTAGATCATCTCACATGATCACTTCACTGCAGCACATACCAATTTATGCCCCAATATCGCTGCTCGGATTTTGATCTAGTGTGAGTATTCAGCACAGTGCACTTCTCGACTGTGAGAGCACTGTGGTGTGGCTCCTGCACAGGAGCATTAGTGGCTGAAGACTCTCAAAGGTTCTATAAAAATTTTAATGAGCACAAATAAAGCCACATGCAAGGAGGGGGAAAATACATGTATAATATCTATAGAGACAACGGATACTTAGACAACACCATATGTACTGTACCACACCAAAGGCAGAAAGTGATGAAACACTGCACATTGGGATGTATTTGTTCAGTATTTCAGACATAGATGTGGATAAAATGAAAGCAGATGAATGAGTAGACTTTGATCCCACAGCTATCTGGGAGAACCTACTGTACTTTACTCTTCTCCCAGTTATTTATTTCCATTAATTTACAGCATCATTGTTACCCTCATTATCTCACACGTATTACCAAATGTGTACATCGGCAGTCACATTTTCAAAGCGATCCTTACATTTCCACGTTTCTCTGTCGTGCCAGCAGCTCACACAGAATCAAGAGCGGCAACAAGCCCAAGCTGGAGCGGCTCTCCCCGGAGATCTAATTGTGTACAAATTGTGAGGCTATGTGGTAATCTGCTGCGCTTTCCTGTGGCTGCCTCTGCCATGGGGCCACCTGGGGTCCACCGCAGGTCTGGACCTCTTCTGGGACTGAGCAAATCATTACATACAGCTCACCGGTGACCCAGTGCACATTGCTCATCTTAAAGGGCCTTTAGGACATTACATATGGATGAATGGTGTCAACTTATAGTGGAAATGCTCCCATGGTGGATTTTTTTTTTCTTGTGTAACTCTTGGCATGTGTGGCTCAGCTGGCTTACTGAGCTGCCAAAGGTACCAACCTGAATTTATATCTAAGTAGCAGATTAATAATAATGAATTCAAGTGGTAGATTGAAACTTGATCCCTGTGAGTTTTAATGAAAATTGAGAACTAAAGGTCAAAACGCTCTAATATTCACCTGAGGCACTGAACATGCAAGAGTTCAGAGGGATTGGTGGGAGCATTAGTGGCATGAGTTAGTCCTTAGGAACTTGTGCCTTTGCAGAATGAAAAACTCTAATTCGGGCACATTTCCAAAACCCTGATTAATTTTAATGTCTACAAAGGTCATCGGTGCATGTGTTTTGAATAACAAAAATTGCATTTTTGCATGTGGTATTTGATGACCGTTCACCTCAAAAAACCCTCTCGCTTTCATAACATTATACACTTGAGGCATCGCAAGAAAGGTGTTCGATTTTCATCAAAGTCCTAATTAGACTGATTGCGTTCATGTCTAGCGGTCTCCTATCATCATCCTGTGATTTCATGCCTGAAGTTTCTCTCTTTTAAATCATCTTTAACCCGCACGGCACGTGAAAAACCAAAGCAGACACAGTGTCAGAGAGCATTGCTGACCTTTGACATGCTACTGTCTGTTTGGTTTTTCACATTAAAAGTTTGCGCTGTAGGGGGAGTTCGGTATAAGTCGCTAAAAATGATCATTGTCTGTTTGAATGTTGTTCAGTGTTGTGACATGAGCATCCCCACACAGTTGCAGCATCAGCACTTATGTGTGCCTGTGGAGTCAGTGAAGACTTAGTGCTGTAATAAACTCCTGGAATATTAAAGACTCTTACTGTCTTAAAAATGCAGGTTCAGGATAGTGAGGAGATCTGATGTTTGTCCTTAATTTATACCCACATTAAACTGCTGGTTTGCTGGAACTGCAAAGTCTGGCAAGTAAATTCACAGGAAACATCTCACTGGCCTTGTCTTTAGGGTCAGTTTTAAGAAATGTTTATGTGAATGTACTTGGATTAGTTATGGAAATATTTTTTGTGCAATCAGGTTCAAATCTTAACTCATTTTTCTTTGCCCAAATGGTGAAGAAGCCATTTAAATTTGTGTTTAAGGCTTAAGATTTCATGGTGGATTAAGTGAAGATGGAGCTTTATTTCATAAGTCTATTATTCTCCATCCTGTAAAACATTATGTAGCAAACTTAAACGGCTGGGGTTTGTGTTATAAACAGGCTAAAATACGTCGAAAAAGGGAGAAAATTGCTGGAAGTGATCGCAGTTTGAGCTTTTTCTGCGGATCCTGCTCTGAGTTCATTGATTCCCGAAATGTGAACGGCTGTTCAGAAAAAAAATCACAACTTACCTTGACACCAAATTCCGCCTCTAAACGTAGGATCCAGTAACTGTCAAAGTCGAGAGCCCCCCGCCTCCTATTATACTAAACGCTCCTATGAAGTTTAGAGAAATAAAAGTACTTGTGCATGAAATTCTTGCGCTCCTCCGGTCTGTAGTACTGTACCATCTGTTGTGCCTGTGCGCGTCGAGCTCTGCGCGGTGAGGAGAGGAGAGGAGAGGGGAGGGGAGGAGAGGAGAGAGGGGATGGGAGGGGAGGAGGGAGGGAATATAGTGTCCAGAGCGCACAGCGCACACAGCGGGAGAAGGGTCAGAGACAAGTCTGCAGGAGTTCAAACCTCAGCCTACTGCTCACACTGTGTTTGACAGATCACAGAGTCAGGGTGCGATGCGCAGCCTGTCACTGATCATCGAGCAGATAGTGCAGCACCATTTAACTTGGACACTCATTTATACTTTAACCGCCTTTCGAGAAATATGAATCTAAAAAAAAAAAAACAAGTCCAGCCACACTTTACACTAAATGAACTGATTAACCAAAAGTGTTCTCTAAAGTGAGGGTCATAAAAGTCATAAAAAGCAGTAGTAGTTTCAGTAGATGCAGTTAGATAGTAAGTTTGAAACAGGCAAATGATGCATAACACACACACGCAAAAACAAACAAAAACCAAAACACTTAAACATGACAAAATGAAAAAAGAGGTTCAAATAAAAGACATGTTAAGCATACTTAGTGTAAGTAAAGGGAATGGCAGAATCATTCAGACCAGTGTGATGTTGGTGATCAATGTGTGATCAATGTGACACGACCAGACTCCTGCCATAAAGCAGCTAGCCAATCAGAGCTCCTGCTGCTAATCTATTTGGCTTTTACCCTATAAAAACAGAATAATGAAATAAAATATTTTCTGTGTTTATATAAGTTGTATACATGCCGCAGTGATTAACTACATTTACTCAAGCCCCGTTTTGAAGTCTTAAGTGCAATTTTGATGTATTTCCAATTTATGCTACTTTGTACTTCATGTTGCTCTATGGAACACTGTGGTAGTGATAAGTCAGTTTGAAGATCAAGATCACGCACATAACACATCTGATCGACATTTAAAATATGTTGCATTTACACCCAACAGATTAGCTCCACCTCAACCAGCTAAAACATTAAAGTGCTGCATACACAATGCATTAGTGATACTAATCCAATAATAATTGATAACACTCTTACAAGGGGCATTATGCTTCCTAATGAGTGCTTTAAGTACATTTAACAGCTAATACTTTCCTATAGTAAAATTACAAGTGCAGGGCTTTTTATTGTTGTTTATTTTATTTTTTATTTACTGAAGCAAAACATCTCAATTCATCATTCACCACTGTCTAAATACAAGTTAAAATAAGCATTATTCCAGCGGCACACTCCAGACGCCATACAGTTTGGGTCTCTTGAGATCGATGGCGGCCATGGACTATTGTAACTCCATCAGACATCCTGTACTTGTGACAGAAGGTCCAGCTCACTCTGACTTTCTTGTTTTTTCTCTGTTGGTTCATTTTGACATGAATTTGTTTTGTCCCTTAAATCTGCTGGTATCTACAGCAGCCATGCAAATAGTTTTGGTTACACGTATCAAGATTTTGAGACATCAGTCTCTGGAACTCCTGTCTCAAACCTAATACAGTGAGGGGATTTTGTTTGTGGAGCCAGCAAATTTGGAAAAAATGATTCAAACATTCACCAGCATCTCTTTCCAGGAAAGGTGATGTTATCTCTGATGATTTCTCTGTAGTCCACTGAGAAGTCTGAAATTAAGTAGAAGCAGAAATCTCAGAGGTGGAAACATCAAAATCTCGCCAATTGAAATAAAATCTGCGTGGCTCAATTCCAAGTAGTAGGTGATAAAAACACTTTTTTTTCTCCTTATCATTTGGCTGAAACAACCATTTAAACTACCAAATGAAGCATCTGCAGCAAACCTCCGCCTGTTGTTGGAGATGAAATCGTGCTCTAACATTCTGCGACTTATCCAAACCCCTCGAGGGTCCACATGTCCACACATATTACAGATGAAGAGTGAGAAAGAATGTATGCATAAAATGAGGAAGTAAAAACAGTGGATGCTCACGGATCAAAACGCGGGATGCTCAGAGAGCAGATGGTTTTCCCTCAATGTGACAGATACTGTACGATGCCCCACATATGTTCACAGTGACGAAATCAAAGGTCAAAAGAATCCATTTGCTACGGGAGAAGATGGACTTACATGGTAATGTTTTCTAAAATGCACTGTAGGCTGCTAATTCTTTCATTTCAAACTGTATCCTCGCCAAGAATAAAATCGAATCAAAAGCTACCTCTGGTCCATCACCTCCTGCAATCAGAAATGGATCCCTTCGCTAAATGCTGCTGCCTCCTCCTCACCCACATGTGGTGAAATCTGCTGAGGCAGGTGAAGAAGGAGCCTCCCACCCAGGATGAGTATTTTTGGCGGGCCGCAGACAGCACGTTGACCCCGGTGTCGCTGGGTGCCATCTGCAACCACCGAGAGAGGCCAAAGCTGACATACTGGCCATTTACAGCCGCTGCCAACTGGGATTATGGTTCTTCAGCTGTTCACGATGCACTTGCCAGGTTCGGTCAGTCTTCTGATGGAGTAGTGGAGCAGCATCGCGGCACAGCAGGGTCACTCATTTTCAAGGGGCAGTTCATTAGTTTCAGAATGCTCATAACTGTCCTAACGCTGATGAGTTTTAATTTGGTGAAATCTTAGTGGGATTTTAGTAAATTTTTGGTTTGTTTGAAGAAGCAAAATGAGTGTATTTGATGAGGGTTGATGATAACACACTGCAAATAAAGCAGTAAATGCACCTGACAACTACACAGCAGACTGGCACAATAATACGATTGAAATAAGACAAGATTAACAACGCCGCGGGGCTCTGGAAGAGTTGAAAAGTCGCACAGAGCAGAGTCTGATGTGTTTAAGAGTCACTTTCCTGTCTCCACTGCATCAGTGATGTAATGAAGCAAAGTAGGAGTTATTGCAGAATGTAGACTCAGCTGTCGTCTCCCGACAGTAGGACAGAAGAGACGGCCAGGGATCTGTCACCGGGATGTCACGTTCTTTAGGGCAGACCCGCGGGTTCCTTATCTCGTAGGAGTCTCAAAGGTGCCATGGAGAACCTGCGATTTCACATCTTCCTCTGTGGTTGATTGTGACTGGAGTCGACGTTTGGTGGCACACGCTTTGAGACTCAGTCACACAGTAGAGGTTAGAGTTTCTTACCAATAATTGTCTGTAGTGTGTGTTTTATCTCCTCTCAGCCCAACCACAGAGTGTATATAGCTCTTTGTCTTTACCGATCTCAGTTTCGCAGACCTTCTGATCACATGATTTTAACATGGTGTTTATTTTTTTAACTGAAAAGTTTGTTTCATTGTTGTTTTTCTTTTCTCAACCAGCTTCCCAATGCTTTTCTTTTTTTCTATTCTTTTTTACTGCATGTCTAGTACTTTTGGTCACAGACAGACTGTGCTGTTTCACTGCAAACGCCTCATATCACAACGGCATACATGGCCTTGTAGCATCACAGCGCTCAAGCTAGAGTTGCTATAGCAACGGGTGATCAGAGGGGTTATTTTTCTGTGTTTGTGAACATATTGAGGAGATGATGGGGAAAAGATGATTTTATAATCAGTCACCAGCTACACCCAGCTTTTTGTACTCACCAGCATCACAACACGGAGCTTTTTAAAAGCCTGTAAGAGTGATAAATGTCAACCTGTTATTGTTCCTGATTACTGCAACATGCCAGAACAGTAAGCCTTGTGTAATCACTGTAATATGCCCCTCTCTTGGTGACCGTCCATGAATGTCTGGTTCCTCTGGCAGAAAACTAGTGCATGACAGCATCTCCTGAAACAGGCTTTTTAAGAGGAGCCCAGCCAGGTGATGTGAAGTCATGAAGAGCACAGCGTGACTTGTTATCACCCCTACAGAGGGGGTGCTGCCAACACTTCTCTGCCACTTTTAAAGGTCAAAGCTGGAGGCATCAGAAGTGATGTAAGAATTATTTTATTACATACTGATTGTATCTAAGTGCAGATATTTTAACTACTGATACCTGCAGAAAACACAGGTTAAAAACGGTTCATAGTGGTGAATTTCATCTTTTTAATTAGAAAAGAGTGTCTGTGCTAACACATTATCACTGTCTCTCACCTCCCGGTTTTGGCGTGCTTTGACATTTCATATTCACCAATATCTGTTATGTCCTCTGTCTTTTTTCCTCTTGTCTCTCTGCACCAGCATGTAGAATCTGATATCATTATTCCTGGGAGGAAAGGCCGTATGAGTTTATCTGATTCCATGTCACGGACATTGTTACAGCACGGTCCCATCTATCCAGAGGAAGGATGAATCCATCACAGCCCATCACAGCACTGAGAGGCCTCTTTACGGCCTGCAGATCCATCCACTTCCCCCCTTAGTGGGAGTTTTTTTTAGCATCCTGCATCATAGTCAGCGGTGAAATTGAAATTAAAATTAGAGCAACTGAGAGGCTGCAGATAGTATGTGTAGGATCTGGTTTTTACCATTATAAAATCCAGCAGAAGAGAGGGCTTTTGAACAATTTTTGTGGTAAAGCATTTCAGCAGCAAAGGAACAATGTGAGAACTTGCTTTACTCATAGAATATATTCAACTTTATTTATTTGCAAAGCTTTTAAATGTACCATTAGCCAGAGTTGTTCCTGTTGTTACTGCTGTTAAAATGTCAAAATAGAAATTAAGCGGTTGTGAGATATTTTGTGACATGCCAACGCTTTAAAAAATTTAAAATTAGATAGTGACAAAAATGAAATTCAGATCAAAAAGAATATTACTATCTGGTCCTCCCTTATTTAAAGCTGATTACAGTGCTGCTGCTGCTGAGTGTTTTTGTATTGAACTTTTAAGTGCCAGAGCTCTGCAGGCATACAGCCAAGTGGAAGAGCTGTTCAACATTCAAATTGTCTTCATGTCTGTTTATTTATGGCAGGTACTGTATATTAATACTTGCCAAGATTCTCTGTGCTATTCCTGGCTCCCCTGAAATAACACAGTTAGCTCATTTTTGTCAAAGGGTTTGAGGGTTTGGTTTAGAATG